GGGGGCTGTGTGGGGGGGAGGGGGGAAGGCCCACAGGAGGGGAGGGGAGGGGGAGGGGAACGAAGAGGAAGAGGAGGCGGAGGAGGAGGAGGAGAAAAAAGAAGAGGAGGCGACCGAAGAAGAGGAGGAGGAGGAGGAGGCGATCGAAGAAGAGGAGGAGGAAGAATTCACAAGGAACGGGGGCAGGATCGGGAGCAACATCAGGCGGGGCTGGACGAACGACAGTTCCAGTCTGGCCCTTGTCGTGTCGGCCAACACCTTCCGTAGGAAGCGGGGGGGTCGAGAAGGCGCGAAGTTGCGAGCTGCTCTTCTGGGCAGTGCTGGACAGAGAGAGCATCGACGAAATAATTCGGTGGTGCCCCGGAGGCCTGCTGGACATACCTCCGACACCACCTGTCCAAGATCACAAGTCCAAGCGGACCACGCCCGCCCGATTCTGAAAACAGACGTGCAACTTAGACCCAGCGGTCCGCCGGACAGCCGAAACCGAGGATCTATCCAATTTGAGCGTCCGGGCTAAATCCTGATCGTGCGAGCTGTGGCGTCGCTTTCGACCAAGGGGTGTGTGGGTCGCTTCGCGAAATCTCCCGTCCACCCATTGTGGACAGAACTCAGTAGGTCATCGAGCAAGCACGCCATCAGGCAAGTAAGCACGCCATCTGAAGGCCCGCCGCGCTGGGCTGAATGCATACATCCCCAGGACGAAAGTTTTTTCCTCTTGGGCCCGGAACGACGGTGTGAAGTCTTGAGCAGACCCGTATGAGATAACCGCCGTCGGATCCCATGAAGTTCGCGCGGATTCAAATGTGGTTTTGGTTTTTGTTTCGGTGGATCCGATTTCCGTCCGTACGGATCCGATTTCGGATTCGCTGGATCCGTGTCCGGTCTCATTTTTTACGGCGGATCCGATTTCTACCCTGTTTTAAATTTATATTAGTAAATTAAAACAGGGAACCGGGAGAAATCGGATCCGCGGACCCCGCAAACCGCCCGTGCGAAGATTCTACGAGGGATGGGGGGGTTCGGTAATTAACTGTCCACTCCCATGAACTCCCCTCGCGAGCGGGCCCCATTCAACATTAATACATACATCCCTCCCCCCCCGGTTGCTGCAAAGAGCTCGTCCGGTCGCCGTCCGTTCGGCGGCGCCGACGTTGTCTCGCGAAGTCCTCATGGCCTTTTTTTCACCCCAAGAGGAAAATCTTTCGTCCTGCGTAAGTGCGTTTCGGCTTTGCGTTTCCTCACCCAAAGGACTGCCTTTGAGATGTGGTGTGTCGGCTGTGTGGTTACCAACAACGGACTGCCTGTGACACGTGGTGTGCCGGCTGTGTGGTAATCAAGAAGTCCGAAGGCCAAAACGCCCAGAAATCCGAAGGCCAAAACGCCCAGTGCGTTTCGGCCCTGCGTCTCCTCACCCATCGGACTGCCTGTGAGATGTGGCGTGTCGGCTAGATTGTTACCAACAACGGACTGCTCGTGAGATGTGTGTGTGTCGGCTATATGGTAACCAACGAGTCCGAAGGCCAAAGTGCCCATCCCCAGGACGAGAGTGTGTTCCTCTTGATGTGGTGTGTCGGCTATGCTGTTAGCAACAACGGGTTGCCTGTGAGATGCGGCGTGTCGGCTAAATGGTAACCAACGAGTCCGAAGGCCAAAACGCCCATGCGTTTCGCCCCTGCGTCTCCTTACCCAACGGACTGCCTGTGAGATGTGGTCTGTCGGCTAGATGGTAACCAACGAGTCCGAAGACCAAAGCGCTCATCCCGAGGACGACAGTTTTTCCTCTTGGGCCCGGAACGACGGTGTGAAGTCTTGAGCAGACCCGTATGAGATAACCGCCGTCGGATCCCATGAAGTTCGCGCGGATTCAAATGTGGTTTTGGTTTTTGTTTCGGTGGATCCGATTTCCGTCCGTACGGATCCGATTTCGGATTCGCTGGATCCGTGTCCGGTCTCATTTTTTACGGCGGATCCGATTTCTACCCTGTTTTAAATTTATATTAGTAAATTAAAACAGGGAACCGGGAGAAATCGGATCCGCGGACCCCGCAAACCGCCCGTGCGAAGATTCTACGAGGGATGGGGGGGTTCGGTAATTAACTGTCCACTCCCATGAACTCCCCTCGCGAGCGGGCCCCATTCAACATTAATACATACATCCCTCCCCCCCCGGTTGCTGCAAAGAGCTCGTCCGGTCGCCGTCCGTTCGGCGGCGCCGACGTTGTCTCGCGAAGTCCTCATGGCCTTTTTTTCACCCCAAGAGGAAAATCTTTCGTCCTGCGTAAGTGTTACAGTCGGGGCCCTGAAGAAGGAACCCTTTTGGTTGGGGAGGGGCTCCGCGTTCCTAAAGTGTTTCACAGCTTGCCTCAGGCTTTCCTTAGGTTTTCGATGGGGAATCGAAGTTTAACTTGTGGGAAAGGAGGGGCCTCGTTCCTCATTTACGGTTCCTTAGGTCAACGCCCCCACTGTACGACCCACTCGGGAATCTCGTTTTTCAATGCAGGGGTCCGAGGGCTCACTTTGGGACATGAGTGCCACGGAGGTTCGCCGCCAGATACGTCTGTTCATCGAACACGGAGACATCCAGACGAGCATGATGAGGATGGGGTGAGAAGGATAAATGCAGGAGGAGGAACAAGGAGCGAGGAGGAGCGAGGAGGAGGAGGAGGATGAGGAGGTCGTCGACCCCACCCGCATTCCCAGGAAGAGGACAGCAGGAAGGAACGGTGGGGCTGGCGGGAGCACATCTGGTGACGAGAAGAAACGAGAAGTGGATGTGAAGGAGGGGGAGTGGCGGCGGAGGTCGATCACCAGAGGGGGTGCGGGGGGACAGCGTTCGGGCAGGGAACGCTCTTGGTCCGGAAGAGTTTCGGCATTGCTCAGCTTGCTGATTCGGAACCCCCGGCTGGCAATCTCAACCTGACTTGTCGCAGGTCGAGCGTGTCCCCCTAGAGGCGGATTTTGGACGAAAAAGGAAATATACCCCAAACAGATTCAAAACATATTCAAACATTAACAGAACTAATCGTCCCCAGACTATTTTTTGACTAGTTTTGAATTTCCCCCCCTGTAGAGGGACAGGCGCGACTTACGACTTGTCCTTTACAGCATGAGTCCAGGGCCCGGGCTGATTTCGACCCAGGGGCCTCCGCGGGCGTCTTCCTACACCTCCCGTGTGACCTCCTCGTCATCGAGCCCCGTCCTGGTCATTGCCCTCCTCCCCCTCTCCACTCCACAATTACGCAATATGAGTATTCTCATCTCTCCCTCGAAGACTGCCTAGTTGCTTCTTCTCGTCTGTGTGGGTGTGTGTTTTGTCCTCTATTCGAGCGTTCTCGGTCCTTCCAAAGGGTGGTCCCGCTGCAGCGTGAGCCTTATTGTAGGATAGGGGCTTGGCTCCGGTCGTTCAGAACGGCGCGCTCGCCCCAGCCTGGGCCACTTTTCTAGAGCCGAGTCCTTCCTCATCGGTGTCGCCCCCTTCCTTTCCCCTCCTCCGCCTTCCCCTGGTCATCCTGATCCTCCCGCTCCTTCCACTTCGGTTCCTGCTTCTGTTGTCCGTCCTCGTTCTCCTCTTTCCTCCTCATCCTCCTCATCCTCCTGCTCATCCTCCTGCTCATCCACCACCTCCTCCTCCTCCTTCTCCTTCCTCCTCCTCCCCCTCCTTCTCCTCTTTCCTCCTCCTCCTTCTCCTCTTTCCTCCTCCTCCTCCTCCTCCTCCTCCTCCTCCTCCTCCTCCTAGATACGCAGCCCCCCTTTCCCGATTCACCGGGCGGTTGCGGCCCCCACCTTTCTAGAGGTGGTTCTTTGGGTTGGGGTGCTTGTGAGCCCACCCGTCCCGAGCCCAGTTGCTTCTCTGCTGTTCGCTGTTTCGCCCAATTTCCGATCACGCACAACACTGTGGGGTCTGTCTTGGAGTTCCAGGTCTGCTTCGACAAGCGTCCACAGATAGAGAAAAATCGGCGCAACGGGGAGGGGAGGGGTGGGTCCTCCCTCCGCCTCCCCTCCTCCTACCTGCCTTGTGCGCCACCCGCCGAGCACCACCTGCAGAACGAGGACGCGTCGTCGCAAGGCCCCGCGTCGCATCAACCTCCTCCCCTCCCGCTTCCCCTCTCCCTCCGTGGCGTCTTACTGCACCTCCTCCCCTGCACATCATCGTCCTCCTCCTCCTCCTCCTCCTCCTCCTCCTCCTCCTCCTCCTCCTCCTCGTCCATGCATCGTCCCCCTCCTCCTCCTCCTCCTCCTCCTCCCCCTCCTCCTCCTCCTCCTTCTCCTCCTCCTCCTCCTCCTCCTCCTCCTCCTCCTCCTCTCCCTCCTTGGCGTTTTCCTTGCACCTCCTCCTCCTCCTCCTCCTCCTCCTCCTCCTCCTCTCTCCTTCCTCCCCTGCTCCTCCCTCCTCCTCCTCCTCTCCTTCTCCTCCTTCCTCCTCCTCCCTCCTCCTCCTCTCCTCCGCCCTCCTCCTCCTCCTACCTCCTCCTCCTCCTGCTCTCTCTCCTCCTCCTCCTCCTCCTCCTCCTCCTCCTCCTCCCCTCTCTGCACCCTCCTCCTCCTCCCCTCCGTGGCGTTTTACTGCACATCCTTCTCTCCTCCTCCTCCTCCTCCTCCTTCTCCTCCTCCTCCTGTTCCCCTCTCTACACCCTTCCTCCTCCCCCGCTGCTTCTCCTCCTCCTCCTCCTCCTCCTTTCCCTCCTCCTCCCCTCCTCCTCTCCTCCTCCTCCCCTCCGTGGCGTTTTACTGCACATCCTCCTCCTCCTCCTCCTCCTCCTCCTCCTCCTCCTCCTCCTCCTCCTCCTCCTCCTCCTCCTCCCCCTCCTCCTCCTCCTCCTCCTCCTCCTCCTCCTCCTCCTCCTCCTTCTCCTCCTCCTCCTCCTCCTCCGCCTCCTCCTCCTCCTCCTCTTCCCCTCTCTGCACCCCCCTTCCTGCCCCTCTCTGCTCCTCCTCCCCGTCCTCGACCCGTGGAGGAGGCCTCCGCGCCCCGGGCCGGCGAGAGAGAGAGCGCGCAG